AAAGAAAGAGAGAGAGAGAGAGAGAGAGAGAGGAAAACTGAGAAATCACCCCTCCGGAAGGATGGTCACACCACAGCCCCTTCTTTTTAATTCTCCTCTTGGGGTTTTAGGCATGCATGCACGCATGTCCAGTGTGTTTTTCAAGCCACTATGTATGTCTGGGACTCGAACCGTGCAGTTGGCCGTGTGGGATCCAGCCACCTTAACCTCTGTGCCACCTACTGATGCTCCCAGATACATTTTCTTGAACCTAAATGTATCCATCCTTTCTACACTCACCATTATTTACAGGAATAAAATACCTAGCCCAGACCGTCCCGTGACCAGTCCTCCTCATGACCTGTTTAATGTGCAGAGTGGTCATTGAAACAGGACTCTGCAGTGATGCCTGAATGTGAAACCGCCGTGGGTCAAATTTCCCCATGAGCTCTCCTATCCTAAGTGCGGGACTTACTGAAAAATGTCTTATTACCTTTATAGTTCTGTCCCCAGATGCAGAAACGATATACTTGTCATCAAAGTCTACAACGTTGACAGCAGCTCGGTGTCCGACCAGCACCCTCCGGAGGGTGATGTCAGTTGGGGAGGCCATGTCCCACACCGCAATGGATCGATCTTTGGAGCAGGTCACCATCATGCCGTTATTGAAACGCAAGTGCAGGACTGCTTCACAGTGGTGAATCAGCGTGTTCAGCATCTCACCTGTATTTACATCCCACACTCTGGAAGGGACACCCGGTGGTTAGATGGCACTCAAGCTACCACCTGTTACCCGGATTTGACCATCATGCCCCCCACTAACCCGTATTTTAACGGAAAATGTTATATCCTACTCTTCTTTATAATATTGAGGTTGAGTTGAGGCAGAGAGTACTGGATGGACCATGGGATTGGTAGAGGGCGACAGAGCTGGACTAGGGGACTAGAAGGACGGGGAAGGGACGCTGCCAGTGTGGACTCCTGGAGATACACCGCCTGGAATCTGGGCAAACTGTGGAGGGTAGAGATGAGGTAGTGGCCACCATTACCTAATAACGTGGCTGGATTTTAAGATTATTATAAAAATTCGGACATTCAATTTGACACTACTAGTAAGACACATCTTCAATGTGAATCTGACTAATAACGGCAGCATTAGTGCCTACCCCATGGTCCACCTTCGGGAACCAGAACTGATACAGGCCAAGATGCTGCTGCTGCAGAAGCAGTAATGTGGATTGGAGTTTGATGAACCCTGGAGCTCAGGTTTCACCACACAGGTCAAGGTCAAGGATTACCCAGACTCCAAGTCTAAGCTCCGTTTCTGTTCTTTGAGAGAGTAGGGTCAGTAGCAGCCCTCCACTATAAATACGGGCTGTGCAGTGGAGTGAATTGAGAATTCGGTGTGAGGATCTATTTCACTTTGTTTACTCTATTTTTGTAGGTTTAGTATGGCTTTATAACATTCTGTTCCCTTTTTCAAGTTTAACCCCCTTTTGTAGGAAATCGTTTTCCCCCTTATCCTGTAAATGATGTTAGTTGCACTCCACAGGCACCAATACATGCTAACTGTCATAACTACAAGGACTAAACTTGCTATGCCTTTGAGTCAAAAAACAAGAAACAGGAACAGCCTTTTCTATTCACCGAGGAAAACTCAGAATGGCAAACATTTCACTTCAAAGAATCTAACAATGCAGTTAACGGCTCTTTTTCAAGGTTTTTTGTTTTGTTCTAAAGTTACTTTTGATGCATTATGTTTGCTAAATTCTTTAGCTTAAGGCAAAATCTCTAACGGAGGTTTCCAGCAGTGCTGCTGGTGCCCAGAACTCAAGCTACACTGGACTCCAGCAGCATAATGGCTGTGTCATCAAATCACTAGCGCCTCTGGAAATGGAGGGCCCCTCCTTGAGTGAGGCTTGCAATTAAACACTGCAGGACGGCAGGGGAGGGGCTGGCAAAGAGAAAGCACTGCTCACCTGTACACACTTTAAAGGTGATAACGCACACAGGCACTACAGTAAAGCACCTGAAAAGAAGGCTTCATTCCATTTGTGCCGTTCCCCTGTGAGCTGGCTTTGTATGGAATTCAAGGTTTCCCATAAAGATAAGAAAACTTTCTATAATGGATGATCCTCAAATTAAATGAACATGTAGTTTCTTAAATGTGCAAAAATGTAAACTTACCTCAGTTATTCCTAAATAAGTTTTCTAGTTCTAGACTGACACAAATGATGGGGGAGCTGACGGTTTATTCTTCTCAGGTTTCAGAACTGTGTTCGTGCAGATATATACAAATTACTATCTATGACAAAGAACAAAGTGGATCTCCTGTTTCAGAGTTCAAAAGAGCATTTGAAAGTTTCTACCTGACCGTGGAATCCGATGATCCAGTTATGATCACCCTCTCGTCATACTGCAGACACAGGACAGAACCCGTGTGGCCTGTGAGAATCCGCCTGCATTCCAGTGTGCTTTTATCCCAGATCTACGATGGCAAACAAGATCCTTTTGATCGCTGTGATAATGGGGTGCTGTGGAGACTTGTTGGCTCTATTATGTGTTTGATCCCCCGAAAAATCAAAGCCCACGGTGGTGAGGAATGCATTCTTTTCCACGGGTAGAGTTAAGCAATACGTAGGGAGTATACATAGGGAGCTTCAGTACAAAGGCAGACTTCATCCTTTTCACTGAGGAACGGGGTAGCCTTTAATTATGTGAGGGCCAAAAGTGTACCGGCCTGATCGGTGTATTTCAAGAGAGGATTTAACCCTAGGACTACCCATCTGTGTGCTCTTCTGCGAAGAAGCAGATGTCTGTCCTTAAAGGAAATTCTTTTGGCTTTGGGATCGGAAAAAGTCTAAAATTCTCACTTTTTTCTAGAAACAGTGCTTAGAGTTTATGCTTCAGACTACTTTATGAACAATCACCCGGGCTCCCTTGGCTTCCCTCCTGCAACTGAAGAGACCTCACCTTGATCGTGTTGTCCCGAAGGCCGCTTACGATTTTCTGGTCATCGTACTGTAAACAGTAAACTCCTTTGCTCGTTTCACTTCGGCAGTGGATCCTCTGTAAACTGTGTCTTCCGCATCTCCAATTAGATTCTATTGTCTGAGAAATAGGCATGGCAGAGGTGGTATGAGGAAAGAACCAGAACCAAACTCTCATTTGACTTTAATAGAAACCAATGGCTTAATGCTTCCCTCTGTGGGATACAAAGGACTTAAAGCAAACTGGAAAGATGCTTTTAAAAGACTGCTCTCTAAATTTATAAATAAAATATTTTTCTACTTGTAAGGTAAAGCTTTATTTTCTTGAACTCTCCTGCATACAGTCCATTCAATTAAGTAATACATCCGGCGGAACGAGTCTAAGCACCATGAGAAGGCAAGCCACGTATGGCAGGAGGCATGTGCACCTGGTTCTTACACGGGTGCCCATTCCCACCAATGGCCTTCCATGGACGCTAGCTCAGAGGTATTTGAGCGTTGGCTCACAAATGTCAATTTCACAGCCTTGCTGCTATTGGATGAAGGCTCAAGTTCTCTCTTTTCCTCTCTCATCTACCAGTAAACCACGTTTTTAGTGAACCATTTTTTGAAAGTTTAAAAAATTTGCCTTGTAACTTACTTTACTCTTTACTTATAAAAGGATTGATTTTTTATTTAACTTTATTTTAATTTGACCAGAGTGAGTGAGAGAGAAGGAAAGTGAGAGAGCAAGTCACCAGGTTTGGGACTCTAACTGTGGTCGGCCATGTGGGAGTCCAATGCCCTTAACCACCATGCCACCTGCTGGCCCCTATTAAGGGATTGATTTCTAACCCACATAGATGAACCTTGATGGGTGTGATGTAACAATACTGTTACTGAAGAATGCAGATGACTCACTAACCTTGGACAAATACCCCAAAATACACAGATTCTTACCTCAATATCTTGTATAATTTTAGGATAAAGTGCTCTATAAAAAGAGTTGGGAGGACCATTCCCATCAGGAGGTTTGTTTTTGAATAAATACTGTCCCCTAAAAAACAACAAATATTTCCCAATAAAAATCACAGTATTATACATTTATAAGGAGCATCATAGTTTTGCAAAATGTGTTTGTTCACAGTTATCATTCCATATAACTTCCATAACTGGCCTGAGGAGGTGTGTAGTTGAGCCTAAGTTCAGGAGGACCATGACAAGGGGGAGTTTTCTGGGCCATGCGGAATTCGACCAACATGGATTTGCTTTCGGGAAAGCACGACCACTTCTGGTGCACATCACAGTACGAGGCCTTCAGGGATAGTTCAGTGTCAACAGACAAATGGGATGTGCATGATCTGAGTTCACCTACTGGTCTGGTCTATGACTTCTATACAGAGCACTGGCTTTATCTTTCAAAAATTTAGTTAGCGATGGTAACTGTTACTTTTGAACCAGTACATGGCACAGTCGTTCTTCCACTGCATAAAGCTGAGCTGATATCAGTGAACCTAGAAGCCTGGGCAGTGGAGCAACGGCTCTGCGGCGGCAATCACCTCCTCTAGGCCTTCACGTGTGATAAGGAGTGGTGGCTCCCCCGCCACCCGGGCTGCCGGCGATCAGCACGGCTCTGTTTTAAAAGGAGCAATTTGGTTCACTTCAACAGAAAACAAAGGGATGGTAGGAGTGTCCAGCAGCAGGGAGGAAAGAGGAGGAAAAGAAATGCCTAAGAGCACTGTGCCTTCAGGTCTGAGGCATGAAACGGCTTTCACAGGTGTGTTGCTGGCTCCACACACACATACGTGCGTTTTACTGCCCTTCCTTGGTTCCAGCAAGCAACATTTATTAGCATCTCCTTCCTATGACAGCACATCTCTGGAATACCCATATCCCAAGCTAGATCTTCGCTACAAAAAAACCCAGTAAATGGCAATCACTTCCTGCTGGGTAAAAAATTTAATTCCTCATCCTGAAGTTAAGAACCCACCAAACACGGTGTGGAAGCTAGTAAACCCCACTATGGGTGTACTAACTGCCGTTCTCACTGGCACTGTGCCTTGCAAAGTGGAGACAGGCAGAAATGCCTCTGAGTGTAATCCTGGCACCAGAGAAATCACGTTTTCTCTGGGCCAGTCATCCACTCCTCCCTCTATAGCTCCATTACAATATAATTAATTGTTCAATGTCTCCAGGAGTGCTTCTCCCCTGCCCTCTCCCTATTATACACCTTGAAAATTAGTTGAGAAAATTTCCTATCAGGAAGGTAGCTGGCTCTGGCTTCTGTGTTAATACGGAAAAGACACTCGGCATTGGAGAAGCGAAAATAATAGTTTTTAAAAGGAGGACTAATGAAACATGACATACCAGTTTAAAGAAAAGGACTAACAAAATATATTAGGAAGTAATTCTGGATTAAAGGTACACTCCTCTGAACAATCTCAGTCCATAAACACTTTGCAGGCAAATAATAGACTCTGAATGATAAGAGTTTAGGACTGACTTCAGAGCCCACTCTTTACTGCTTTTCAGTGCCCACTGTTCTTGAGATTCCTGTTTTCATCACTGGCAATTGTACATGGGCACTGCAAAACTTTCTTTATATTCAATGATACTGAGTTTTCTCTTTAAAAAAAAAATAATTATTTATTGCGTCCAGCAGGGGGTGTGGTAGTTGAGGCACTAGACTCCCAGATGGCCAACTACAGTTTATGTCCTAGACCTGGCAGCCCCCAAATCACAACAAATAAATAGATGAATAAATAAATGTTTTTTACAAAAAAAATTTATTATTTCTTCTTTAAAATTTGCTAAAGGGTATGTGCACCACCAGAGAGAGACAGAGAGATAGAAAGTGAGAAAGTAAGCCGCCAGGTCTAGGACTTGAACAGTGGTTAGTTATGTGGGAGTCCATCGCCATACCACCATACCATCGGCTAGCCCTTACCTGGATATATTAAGGAACAAGAATGCATATGAACTTCTTCTTTTTTTTTTTTGGAGAGGTTTTTGCCATAGGGCACATGTGCTCGCTAGACAGACAGAGAGAGAGACAGAGAGACAGAAAGCGAGAATTCACCTCCCATGGGGGAGGGCCACGCCACAATCTCTTCTCCTCCATTCTCCTCCCAGGATCCTGGGCACGCACGTACACATGCCTGGCATGAGTTTTAAGCCACCGGGTCTGGGACTCGGACCACGGTTGACTACAGGGGAGTCCAGCAACATAGGCATTACGCTAACTGCTGGTTCCCCCCTGCATAGGAACTTCTGATCTCATTTCTGTCCCACTGTATTTACCATGCCTTGCTAAATATCCAAAATTTCATCAAAACAGATTCGACCAAAAGGGGTAGCTATGTGTTGAATGCTAGTCTTTGCAGTCTGCATCTATCCTTTAAGTCAAAACCTTTAATGATAGAAGTTCTTTGACAACAGGGACCACTTCTGTGTGAAATGCCTAGCACCTAGGAGAGTATGAGTACATGATAAATGTTAAATATTAAATTCAGAATGTTATCATAAAATGTGATCTGCTGATTAAGAAAATGTGCTTTTCCCAAGTGGTCTTTTATTACACTTTTAAGAGTTACCATTACTGAGCAGAGAGAGTATATTCAATATTATTCAAGAGAGAAAATGACAGAGTTCATGTCCTAGGGCGACTGTCAAATCCATCTAGTTATAAGACACAACAGCAGAGAGCAAGTACAATCTCAGCGACTCAAAGCTTTATTATAAAAATGTATTGACTTATTTATGTGTGGTTGGAAGGACTGGAAGAAACTTTTAAAGACAGCAGACAGGGAAGTATAACACAGGAAAGTGTATAACACAGAGCCTTTGCTGACATACTGGACTTGCTAATGGAACTTGCAGAAGAAAATGAGAAATGGATCGTGGGTTAATAAAAATAAAAAGAAGAAAAGGAAAAAGAAACAAGGGAGGAGGACTAACGGAGAAGAAAGGCATGTAAGAACAGAAGCAGCGGCAAGAAAGTTAGGATCCTGCGGGGGGTCTCCACAGGGCGGACAAGTATTTGTAATTCGTGGGCTATGTATCAAGGTAAGAGCATAAATATGGCCAAACGCAGAGGAACAGAGTGAAAACTCTAAAGGATATTCAAAAGAGAAGAATGGGTTTCTATGGCTGAGGAGAGAGGGAGAAGAGTGGTAATTAGTGCTGGGTCCTGGATTATTTCTCAGCTATACCATCATGTACTTTTTTCAAAAGGCCTAAACACCATCTTTTCAATGATTTTTTTTTGTGTGTGTGTGTGTGATTGTAACTAATAAGTCTTCTGTTTAGTGCCACACATAAGCAAAATTGTGGAGCCTACTTTTACCTTTGGCATTTTCACCTCCATCTGCCCAATTATCTCTGGTTCTGCCTGCCCTCAAAAAAGGACTCAAACTCCCAATGTCTGATAAAGGTTTGCTGTCATTTACAGTCCAAATGGGAACAAACTGTATTTTAACAGGGAACAAAACCTTTATAGCTAAGAGAATGAATCTCTATAACTGAAACTTCAGGTCAGAAGTTATTTAGAGGAAAGTTTATTTTCTTTTCTCCATGGGGTAGAGAATCCTTTCCAGCAGCCCTAGAATTTTCCCACATAGTGGCCATTTCCTCCTCTGTTTCTAAGGCTGGTCCTGGCACTCTTAGCAAACAGATGGGCTCTGCATGTCCCGTAACGGTATACTGACTTGCTTTGTTTTACTATTAAGAGTTTATCTCCAAAGTATGAAGTTAGTTATGAAAGATAAGGTTTCTACTTTCCTACATAGTGAAATAAGTAAAACATATTTGGGAAGATGAAATAACAGTATTCTCTAATTTAAGCAATTATGATGTAGCCAAAAAGTTGCCTAGTATTTGGTTTTAACTGACTTTGCTACCATATTTAGAGGTCACTGTATCCATTAGAAGTTAATGAACTTCACAGACATACACAGAAAGTGAAAGGGAGGGCCTGCCCTATAACACATCAGTTAGGCGCTGGGCAGAGGAAGCCGGATCCTACATGACTGATCAGGGTTTGGGTACTGGCCCATTGGCGTCACACTGGGTGTAGGATCTTAAGAGGATGGAGAACTGGAGGACAACGGATTGCAGTGTGACCAGATACTGTTGGGGGGGTGCTTCCTCCCCACAACCTCTTATGTACAAATGTGCGCACTGGCACTAGATGAAAAGTCTAAGAAATTTTCCTTAGAATTTTCTTTATGAAACTTGATCCACATGAATATTTAAAGTGTTCTCAGCCCAGTCACACTGGTATGTGCCATAAAGACAAAAGTTAGAACCATGTGGGAGGCCTGGGTTCTATTCCCAGTCCAGTGAAAAGGCTGTGTGTGGAATCTCAGTGCCTCGGGGTAGGAGGGTTGAGTTTGAGGAGTCTGAGGCAGGAGGATTATCAAACTGGGACAGGTCTGGGCAACAGGGCAAGACCCTATCTTAAAAGCATGCATTCTTGGGACCAGCAGATGGCGTAATGGTTTGAGTCCTGGACCTGGTGGCTTAAAACTTATGCCAGGCATACGCTTGTGTGCCCAAAATCCTGAGAGAAGAATGAAGGAGAAAGGATTGTGGCTAGGGGTTGATTTCCCACTTTCTGTCTCTCTGGTGAATGCATGTGCCCTATAGCAAAAATATCTTAAAAAAAATTTTTTTAAGGTTTTTGCTAGGTGTATATATACACCAGAGAAAATAAGAAATCACCCCTTTACAGGGACAGATATGCAGCAATCCCTTCTCCTTCATTCTCCTCTCAGGATTTTGGGCATACATACATCTGACCAGCATGATCTTTCAAGCTGCCAGGTCTGGGACTCATACTACGCAGCTGGCCATGTGGGATCCAGCGCCTTAACCTCTGTGCCACCAGCTGGCCCCACATTCTCCCTTCTTTCTTTCTTTCTTTTTTTTTTTTTTAAATAATTATCTATTTAATTTTATTTATTCATTCATTTATTTTCATTTGACCAGAGAGAGATAGACAGAGAGAGAGAGGGAAAGTGAGAAAGTAAGCCACCAGGTCTGGTACTTGAACCACGGTCGGCCATATGGGAGTATCCAGCAGCTGCTTAACCACCATGCCACCTGATGGTCCCCACTCCCTTCTTTCTTAAAAAGTATCATTTCTTAAATTTTTTTTGAGAGTCCCCCAGGAGGGATGCCATGCTGCAATCCCTTCTCCTCTACTCTCCTTGGGATTTTGGGCATGCATGCACACCTGCCTGGCATGAATTTTAAGCTGCCAGGTACAGAACTTGAACCATGGCTGAATACATGGGAGTCCAGTGACATAACCATTACACCATCTGCTGGTGCCTAAAAAATTGTTTTCAAGATTTTTGCCATGCTCTCTGGAGAGACAGAGATAAACAGAGAGAGTAAAGGAGAAATCATCTCTCCCAGACGCGGGGAAATGACTATGACACAGTCTCATTTCTTCTGCTCTCCTCAGAATTTTGAGCACACACCCACGCATGCTCAGCATGATTTTCCAGCCACTGAGTCCAGGACTCGAACCATAGCTAGCCATGTGGGAATCCAGCACCTTAACTACCTTGCCATGTACTGGTTCCTATATTCTCCATTCTTTCTTTCTTTCTTTATTTTTAAGAGAGATTTTGCAATAGGGCACATGTACTTGCTGGAGAGACAGAGAGATAGAAAGCAAGAAATCACCCTCCAGGAAGGATGGTCATGCTGTAATCCCTTTTCCTCCATTCTCCTCTCAGGATTTTGGGCACGGTCATGAGTTTTAAGCTGCCAGGATGGGGACCTGAACCACAGTCAGCCATATGGGACTCCAGTGACATAACCATGATGCCATCTTCTGGTTCCCATATTCTCTATTCTTAACTGCTTTCATATCAGCATTTTGTAATCTAAGATAAACAATTGATAAAATTAATTTGGAAGGATATCATTGAGCTTCATATGATTATTATCATTTGTTTTCTAAATGAAAATACTTAATATTTCACTTTTATTTTATGTATAGACTCTTCATGCCTGACTTTCTTATCTGACATTCTGGATACCTTTGAAGAGAAAATTATATAAAGAAAAGACATCTTCCAGAAGTTCTAATGAAATGGTGCCATTCAGTTAGGAGAACAAAACCAGTGCAGTCTCTGAGGCTCCTAACCACATAGTGCCTTAGAGAACTGAGAGTCAAGCAGGAGGGCCTGACAGCAGTGTGTGGTAACATACCACTCTGCAAAGCAGACCCACGTCGGGAGGCTGCCTGTGGCACCTCGGTTCTCCTGAGCACACCAGGTACAAGTATGTCCAACTAAGGGTGGATTATGACATCGGGACCCTTCGGGGGGTGCCATCTCTCTCTCTCTCTTTCTTATTCATGGGATAAACAAATAAAAACTTTTTAAAAAATTAAGCAGGAAGATCTTGAGAAAATGTTAAGCCTAGAAGCTAGCAGGTGGCATGGTGGTTAAGGCACTGGACTCCTACGTGGCTCACTGTGGATCAAGTCCTGGACTCACAGACTAGAAAATCATGCCAGGGGCATGTGCATATGTGCCCAATCCCAAGAGGAGAATCAAGGAGAAGGAACTGTAGCATGGATGTCCCCCCCCAGTGGGGAGGGGAATTTTTCACTTTCCTTCCCTCTGTCTCCAGATAGTGCATATGCTTTATGGCAAAAACATTTCAAAAGGTAAAAGAATGTGCCTAAAGAAGAAACAATAATTTATATTCAATTCTACTTTTTACTCTTTCTGATAGCTAGAGTTATTATATTACACTACTTGGGAATTAAAGATGATTTTGACTACTAGGGTGATATAACGCCAGAGGTATGGCTAAAGGCAAGAAAGTTTTGAAGGAGAAAATCATCGTGACATTGTCCTGGATCATTTTAGTGGGAAGCTGGATCACATGATTTCTGTGTAATTCTGTCATCTACTTGTCTTTTTTTATTTAAGAGAGATTTTTGATATCGGGTGCATGCACTCACCGGAGAGATAAAGAGACAGACAGGAAGACAAATCGAGAAATCATCCTGGGGGGGAGTGGCTACACGGCAGTCACGTCTCCTCCGGGATTTCGGGCATGCATGTACATGCGCCAGTGTGTTTAATCCGCTGGGTCAGAGACAGGAACCACCGCTGGCCGTGTGGGAGTCCAGCACTGTAACTACTATGCCATCTGCTGGCCCCAATCTACTTGTCTTATAAAATGTCCATCAGCCCTTTCGTAGGATACTGATCTCTGCCCAGAGAACAGAATTCTTTAAATTGGAGGTTAGTCAGTTTTCCATTATTTTTTGCAAAGCAAGATTAACACAATATTGTCACTTAAGAGTAATTGGTCAGAAGAAAAATTGCAGCATATACAAAGAACCATTCTCTTTTATGTTTTTAGCTATAAATGAACAGAATCATTGTATTCAACGGTAAGTGGTCTCGCTGGTTCCCAACAACTCCCAAAGACACTGAGCAGCCAGATCCCGAAGCTCTCTAGCAGCAAGAAAGCGAAAGGCTCACCACCCTCTGCGCTCTGCCAGGCCTCTCCACAGAGAATCTGTCCTGACCATCCTCTCGATGAGCTTCTTCCATAACATGCCATCAGACGTCACTCGGTACCATTCCTTGCACACGAGCTCAGCAGCACATAGTGATTTGGCATCCAGGTATGACAAAATGTTCTCAGCAATATGATCCAAACCCCGAGCTTTCAGTGCAGGGAGGAGGCAAAGAGAAAGAACACGGAAGGTGGTGAATGATTTGGTGTTGCAAGTTCCTCTAGAATAGAACAGCATTTGTCCTGCTACGAGGGCACATCATTGTCCCTAGTGTGGTCCAGTCTCTTTTTCAAACAGAGGCTTGGGTAAAATGAGTGTCAATAATTTTTCCATAAGGTTACAGAAATGAACAGTATTTTCCATCTTCCTTTAGATAAGGAAGTTACAGCTAACAAAGAGCAAACCCCCCAAGACATTAAAAATAAAAAGGATTCCAGAAAACAATTCACATCTATCTATATGGATTTCAGCACTAGGGGATGTTCTATGGATGGCATCTCAAACTCTGTGATTCAGACCCCCCCAAATCGCTATATTAGCTCCATTTCTCATTCTGTTTCTATTACTACTGCAGTTCCGAAGCTGTTCAGTAAAAGAAATATCCATTAAATGTTCTAAGGGAGAGGCACTAAGTCAGACCGCACTACGTTATAGAATTTTGGGCATGCAGAAGGAGAGAAGAAGAAAATAGAGATGGGTACAGGAGTATCCCAACAGCAAGCAGAGCGAGGTATGTTCAAGTTCAAGGATGAGTTTAATCTCAGATGTTTTTTTTTAAAATTGTATGTGAGAACAGCTGCTGCTATGAAACCTAAATGATAGTTGATCAAAAATGGAAAACATCCCAGACCGATAGACAACTTGGCTAGCACTTCAATGACTGTTATGTTGCATGTGCAGAGGAAAACGGTGGAGAGGGACCAGCAGTTAGCGTAATGGCTATGTCGCTGGACTCCCACGTAGTCGACTGTTGTTCGAGTCCCGGACCTGGTGGCTTAAACTCACGCTGGGTGCATGTGCATGCGTGCCCAAGATCCCGAGAGGAGAATGAAGAGGGGATTGCGGCGTGGCCATCCCCCCTGGGGGGTGATTTCTCGCTTCCTGTCTCTACAGTCTCTCTCTGTCTTTCTGGTGAGCGCTCGCACCCTATAGCAAAAACCTCTCAAAAAAAAAAAAAGGAGGAAAACGGTGGAGAGTAGATCTCAGGCTGTGGGTTAAAGTTCTCCATCACTCAAATCTGTACTGAGGCCTGGAAGGAAAACATCCTATAAAACAGGACCATTGCACTAACAAACCTTCTTTGAGCAGCGGTTTCAAATTCAAAAGCAAGACAAGAACATTGAGTTATTTTTCTTTCAGGTTACACATCTGAAGTTTTTTAAAAACCTGAATGGTTCAGAAGGATTCCTTCCTATTCTGACTGCACAAATTGAACACACACAGCAGAGGGTATACCACAGTCCATTCTGTGCCTCTCTCGAAACATACAGAACACACTTGGATGCCATTACACACAATCCAAATGTGCTTAAACATTACTCTAATTACAAAGACTGTATGGATATCAGTCACGTTTTTAGCAGACTTGGGAAAGAAAGCATTAAATGGATCTTGTCTGGCTGGCATCACATGTTCGTATTTAAGCATAAGCAGATGGAAGCGTCCATCACCTAATTCTTATTAAAGAAACAACGCTATACGCCAATTAAAGATATAATAATTAGTTCTCCTGAAAAATACGCTGATGGTACAATTTCTGGATCTTTATGTTGAAACTTTCTACACCACTGGAAGTTTCCAAAGTGCATTCCTGTGTTTTTTAATGGCTGCCATCAAAGTGCTCCTGATCATTCACTATGTACCTTATAATAAGTCTTTGGAAGTAATTTCACCTAACACTCCAAACAAACCCATTACATTAATGGATTACAGGCATTTTTTGAAGTAGTTTGGTTTGCTAAATGTAGCCAGATGGTGTAGGTTTCGAAGTTGGAAAGGCTGTAAAGCATTAGACTGATGATTTAATACCTCATACAGTGGTCAGCAGAGACACACGAGGGATCGGTGTTAGGCAAAGGATACACAGGTCTAATCAACCTGTTCAATTCCTAGTGGCATGAGCCTGAGATAGTAGCGTGTTTCGGTGATCGGGGCGAGCACAGTAATGAGGTACACAGATTGCCTGTACGAATAGACTGCCTGTGGCTAGAACAGAATCCAATGAGTGAAGAGGGGGCAGAAATCTATTTAACAAAAGATACAGGTAAAATTCACTTTCAAAATGGTTATTTCTAAGACATAAGTTAATTTTAAAGGGCAATTTAAATAGAAAGTTCAAAAAAGCAAATTTTAAAACAAGTTGTAATTGGCAAAGATCAAACAAAGTAGTAATATGCAATTTTGGGAAGGCTATGAATGGGTATATTTTCCTAAGAGGAGAGCTTGGCAGCATCTGTCAAAAGTCTTATAAATGTTCGTACTTGTCCTACTTGCATTTTTTCCCCATAAGTCCACTTAATATGTAAGAATGCCTACCACAGCATAGCTTATAATAGGAAGACAAATTTAAAACTACTTAGACGTTCAATAAAGGAGTTATATATAACATGCTTGGGCTGGACGGTGGTATAGTGGTAAAAGGCGATGCTCTCTGCAAGGTACACGGGACGGCTCCCAGTTCATGTCCGGAGACGCCCTGAGTACACCTGGCAGCCTCCCACCCATGACCCCGGCTTGTTGAAGCTCGGGGTGGAGCGTGGCACCAGGATTCTGCTGGGAGTACTTCATCCTCTCTGTCTGTCTCATTCATGGACTAAGTACGTAAACTATAAAAACAACGCTTCAGCAACTGTAAAGGACACTACGCAAAGGGGTCAGGCAGTGGCACGTTGGCTGATGCAAGTAGGCCTGCCGGGAAAGGTCCTGAGCTCATGTGCCAGGGCTTCCCTGAGCACACCAGGCATCCAGCTGTGGGTCCGTGACCGAGGGCCCCGGAGTGTGGTGATGGATCATGGCATGAAGACCTGTCGGGGGTGTCTTATCTCTTATGAAAAAAACCAAAAACAAACAAACCTCTCTCTTATGAAAGAAATAAACTAAAAAAAATACTATGCAACTACTAAAAAGCTTTTTATTTTTCTGAAGTTTTACTTTTACTCATGATAGAGTGTGTGTGCATATGTGTACCAGCGAGGTTGGGGGTGAGAGAAAGAGAAAGAACCCCTCATTGGGGCCCGGTCATACCACAATCCCTCTCCTCCATTCACCACCTCATCAAGATGCTGGGCATGTACACACAGGCTGAAATTGACACCCTGACTGGCCATGTGGGATCTGAATTCTCCATGTGGCTAGCCGTAAAAGGTATGTTTTAAAACAACACACACTTGGGCCAGCCCTGTAAGAAAGCAGACAGGAGAGTCTGTAAGTCTGCCTGCCTTTTATTTATTTATTTTAATTTTGCTAGAGGGCATGTGCGCTCTCCAGGAGAGAGAAAGGAAACATGAGAAAGCACCTAGCCACTATGGAGAACAGTCATGCCATAATCCCTTCTCCTCCATTCCTCCTTCTTGTTGGGATTCTGGGCATACATGGGTGCCCCATGTGTTCTTCAAGCTGCCAGGCTGGGGACTTAACCATGCAATCAGCCATATGGGATCCAGCCACCTTAACCCTCACACCATTGGCTTGGTCCAAGAGTAGTCTTTTTAATTTAAAAAAAAAAATTATTCATTTATTTTTACTTATTTATTCATTAATTTTAATTTGATCACACACACACACCCACATACACACATGGAAGGGACAGAGAGAGAGAGAGAGAGAGAGAGAGAGAGAGGAGAAAGAGAAAGTGAGAAAGCAAGCTGCCAGGTCTGGGATGTGAACCATGGTTGACCATGTGGGAGTTTAGTGCTTCAACCACCATACCACCTGCCGGCTCCCAAGAGTGGTCTTATTTTCAGGGTGTTTTTTTTTTTTTTTCCCTGTATTTATACCAAGAAGGTGCAATTTTAGGTCTCAATTTATAAAAACCAAGCCAATAAAGACTTTTAAAAAGAGAGATGGGTTGGGGCCAGCAAGAGGCATGGTGGTTAAGGTGCTGGACTCCCACGTGGCTGACTACTGTTCAAATTCCAGACCCAGCGGTCTCCCACGTGGCTGACTACAGTTCAAATTCCAGACCCAGCGGCTTTAAATTTACACTAGATGTGCTGTGCATGCACGTGCGCACGTGTGTGTCCAAAATCCCAAGAGGAGAATGGAAGAGAAGGGACTGAGGTGTGGCCATCCCCCTGGGGGGTGATTTCTCGCTGTCTCTCTGGCGAGTGCATGCTCCCTATAGCAAAAATCTCTTGACAAAGAAAAAAAAAGAGAGGTGGGACTAGGCAGCTGGGTTCTACGTGGTCAATTGTATGATCTGAGTCCTGCACCTGGAAGTTTGAGAAACACACTAGATATGTATGTGCCAAAAATCCCCAAAGGAGAGAGAGACGGAGGAGGAGTAAGTGTGGCATGACCATTCTCATTGTAGGGATGCGTTCTCCTTTCTCTTTCTCTCTGTGGTGAGTGCACACACCCTCTAGCAAAAAAGGAGAGAGAAAGAGGGAGAGATGGGTCAAGCAGTGGGGTGCCACTACACAAGGCTGGTGCCACAGGGGAGGCCAGTGTTCTGATCCCAGAACAACCAGAATAGGCTGGGCACAGCAGCCTGGCCCCTGGAGGGAGGCTGGGGCGGAGGATCACAAAGGTGACATTCTGTCAGAAATATTTCTTTATCCACCCTCTCCTCTCCCTCCCCTTTCTGTGCCAGCTTGTGCATGATCTCTCACTCCCCCCTCATTAAGGGGGAGGTACAGCCGAAGCCTGAGTTCTGTTGCCATGGTCGCAAGTAACAGTTTACAAATCCCAGGAGACATACCTGGCAGAGCGGTTATGAAATCCCTCTGCAACATAGGTTTAAGATATGAGTTTATGTGCCCATGTTGGTAATGACACATTTGAGATATAAGGTGTTCCACAAATTCCACCTGATCCGACTCTGACCACTGCTCAAAATATTTGACACACAGCTCCTTTTCCTTCTCATAGCTTGCGGAGAGTTTCCGTTGCTTGGGCACGATCATGCTGGAAGTGCCATTGGCAAGTTTCGTCTGCAAAAGGGGAGAGAGGATTAAATGAAACATTTGCCAGCACGTACTGAAACAAAGGGAAATGCATGGAACTTTCTGGTCTGGATGCTGTGCGGTGTCTCTGTGAGTGAGCGCTCCCCTTTACTTTGTTAGTAATTGGATATTTGTGAACAATTTCATGGGAAGGCACAGAAACACACAGGAAGGCTGGTGAATCAGGCACTGAAGAAGACTATATAGCTGTTTCCCCCAAACGCACAAGAAGACATTCGTATCATTTGGAGATATACAGACGAAAACCTAAAGCTGGAAACATGCTAAGTTCTTACTACTAACAAACAAAAAAGCCAATTTGCTTTTCCTTGTATATACCAGTTACTGGACATTTATACACTTATTCACTCATAACTTATTATTTAATGGTCACTTAAGAAGTCCTCCATGCAAAGAAAGGCCAGTGAGGACCAGCCACTGGAGCCTTGTAGGTGAGGAGGCAGGAGCCCACCTGGCTGACCACCTTTGGACTCCTCACCCCAGCAGCTTCAGGGACACGCTGGGTGCATCTGCATGCTTCAAATCCTGACAGGGTGGAAAGATGGAGGAGAAGGAATTGCAGCATGACTGTGCCCTGCTGAGGGTGGTTTCCCCCTTTCCTTCTTTCTCTCTCTCTCCCTAGAGAGTACATACCCCCTCTGGCAATAAAAAGAAAACAAAAAAGATAAAAAGAAAAGAAGGGCCAATAAATATCCCTGAGCATATGAAGTACCTTTGGGATAAATCTTAAGTAACATTCATATGCTCACAATCTATCCATTCCCTTTAAAAAAAAATCCATCTCCGCAGTTACCAAAATTGCATACCATAAAGCCTTTTAAAAGCATTTTTTATTTCCATAGAGCATATTTGCTTACCAGAGAGAGAGCAAGCAAAAGGACCCCTCGCCAATGGGGTGTGGTCACCCCACAGTCCCTCCTCCTCCATTTTCTCATCCTGTCAAGATTTGGGGTACACACACTCACACACCTGGTGTGTTTTTCAAACCACTGGAGCTGGGATTCAAACATGGTCAACCATGTGGGATCCAGCTCCTCTGCACAGAGCTTAACCACTGCACTATGGGGCGTGGCCATGGAGTTCCTATTCATGGATTCATTCAACGAGTACTTACTGAGCATCTACAACGCATGCATCTGCTTAAAAAGTGTGTATGTTATTATAGGCAAAATTCTAAGAGAGTCTCGAAGATAACTGTCTTTGGTATACCTACACCTCCCAATGATTCAAACAAACACTAATATAAACACTGCTGTGATAAAATCGCACCCACATCACTTAATTTTTTTTAAAGAATTATTTTATTTAAATTTATTTATCATTATTATTTTAATATTTCCAGAGAGTAACAAAGAGAGAGAGAGAGACAAGCAAGCCTACAGGTCTAGGACTCGAGCCGTGGCTGGCCATGTGGGAACCCAGAGCTCTAAACCACTAAGCTACCTGCTGGCCCCTACGCATCACTTAAGATTGGGAGATTAAGGGGCCAGCAGGTGGTATAGTAGTTGAGGCACTGGACTCCTACATAGTCGACCACAGTTCGAGTCCCAGACCTAGTGACTTGAAACTCATGCCAGGTATATGGGCATGTGTACCCCAAATCCTGAGAGGAAAACAGAGAAGAAGGGACTGTGGTGTGGCCATCACCCCAGGGGGTGATTTCTCACATGCGTCCTATATAAAAAATCTATTTAAAAAAAATGACTGGGAGATTACTCAGGTGGGTATGACCTAATCACATGAGTCCTCCAAAATCAGAGTTTTCTTCAACTGGTTGTGAAGAAGGAGGGGGCCACGTGACAAGGAATGTGGCCGGTGTCTAGGAGCTGAGAGCAGCCCCGGCCGGCAGCCTAAGGAAACGGGGACGTCAGCCTCATGATGTACTGCCGACAAAATGAGCTGAGAAGAGGAATTCCTCCCAGAGTTCTGGGTGAGAACCGAGATAGGCTTACATCTCAGCTGATTTCAGCCTGGGGCTGCCCTAAGCACAGACCCTGGCCATGTTAAGCCAGACCTCTGACCTGCCACACTACTGGCCAGGGTGTACCTGGTTTTCACTTGCTATGTTTATAGTAATTTGTTATGTAGCAATTTAAGAAAATCTAATATTGTTATTTATGGGACCGGCAGTTGGCGTAATGGCTATGTTGCTGGACTCCCGTGTAGTGGATCGTGGTTCAAGTCCTAGACCTGGTGACTTAAACTCATGCCGGGTGTGTGTGCATGTGTGCCCAAGATCCTGAGAGGAGAATGGAGGAGAAGGGATTGCGGCGTGGCCATCCCCTGTGGGGGGTGATTTCTTATTTTCTGTCTTTCTGTCTGTCTCTGTCTTTCTGGTGAGTGCATGCACCCTATAGCAAAAACCTCTCCCCTCCAAAAATTGTTATTTAAATGTCAGTGGCCAGAGAGTTTCCTTTTAAAAATTATTTATTTAATTGTATTAATATTATATTTTTAAAACTTGTGATTGGGCACACTCACTCACCAGAAAGAAAGAGAGAGAGAAAAGGAAAGTGAGAAAGCAAGCCAGCAGGTCCAGGACTCAAATTGTGGTCAGCCATGTGGGAGCCCATTGCCCTAGCTACCATGCCACCTGCCACCCCATGAGAGACAGTTTCCTTAAAGAGGTGACATTTGAATTGAGACAGAAAAGAAATGTGTGACTAGATATTTGTTACTTGGAGAAGGTCTAGGCAATGGAATTTTGAGAGCAAAGGTCCTGGGGGCAGGCAGTCCAACTGGCATGTTCGAGGGCCTGATGTGGCCGGAATCAATTGAGTAAGCAGGGAAAAATGAGGTTGGAAAACAGTCTGAACCAAATCAACCCGGTCATTTAGGTGGTGGGAGCAAATCTCCAAAACCAGCTCCAGACAACTTCAGCGGTCCCTCTACATGAGGACTGGCCCTCCCATCAAGGGTGGCATTTATGTCCTAGCCTTAGATTCTAGGCCTTGGCAAACAAAATGTGGAGAGATTTACATTCTGGGACTTTCAAATCCTGGTAGAATCTGAGGCGTTACAGCTTTGAGTCACCACATAAGAAACACAGGCTACTCTGCTAGAGAGGGGAGTCTGGAGGATGAGAAGCTTTGCAGAGAGAGCTGCAAGGAGAAGATCCAGAGGTTAAGAGTGATCTGTCCAACACCTTTTTTTAAGAGAGATTTCTGCTATAGGGTGCATATGCTTGGCAGAAAGAGACAGACAGGAATTTCAAGAAATCACCCCCTGGGGTAATGGCCACGCCTCAATTCCTTCTCCTCCATTCTCCTCTTAGGATTCTTGGCATGTATACACGCCCAGCATGAGTTTTAGGCCACTGGGTCCAGGACTCGAACCCCAGTTGACTATGTAGGAGTCCAGCAACATAACCGCTATACTATCTGCTAGTCCCTGGTTCAACAAACCTTTTAAACAGACCATTGCTGTGTGGAGAACAGATCACAGGGCATAAGAACAGAAGTAAAGAGGCTAAAGAGGAGACTGCTTCAGTGGTCCATGAAAGACATAGCAGTGTTTTGGACTAGAGTTGTAGTTATAGCATGGTGAGTAAGTAACAACTGGGATTCAGAGATTTTTTGGAAGGCAGATCCTACTCAATTTTCCGATAGGCTGGATATGGGAAAGAAGAAGAGATATGTTTGAAGCTGGGCGACACTGGGAGAAGATTCAGAAATCAATACAAACTTTTGTTACTCTAAAGCGTGCATGATCTTCCTTAGAAGATAACCACAAATCAATACCACTGGACACTTTTCAAAATAATTTGATGGATCTTTGGCACATATGCCTGAGGCAACCCCCATCTGGCAGAAAGATGAACATTAATATAGAGTTCATCCCTGCCTAGATATACTTACTAAATGTTGAACACGCCACCAAACTACCAAGTTCAGATACTCTGCTTCTCCTATTTAAACCCAACTTAGCCTTATTTTCTAAATGTTAAATCATACATGTAGGTCTTTTTATAAATGGTTCCTGGTACACAGCTGCAAGTCTACTTCCAAGAGGGCATTAAGCCACTCTATTTACACGGTAGGAGCTGACACCTGTAAGGAGCAAGTCATGGGTGGGAGTGGATGTCTTCCAGCATAAATGCCACTGCTATCTACGACAGAGACTCAACATGATTAGTAAGAATCTTGCTGGACACAGGCCTTGCGGGACTTTAGGGGTTCTTTGTGGGTAGGTTACTTGTTTGCATCTGTTGTTTTCCCTCGGAAAAGGGAAACACATGAAATGTGGAGTAAGATTTAGAGGGTTAACAAGCGGGTGGGCTTACAAGCTTGACCTAAGGACACTTCTCATCCCAACAACCGCCTCCCATCTTTTAGATACTTGCTCTGTCTTCCAACAGGTGGGAATGGACCCATGTTGGTGCTACCACAGTACTGTTTTCCGGTTACAGACCAGAAATGCAAGTAACAGAGAACAACAATCAGCAAGCTAATAAAAGAAAACTGCAGGTGGTGTGGTGGTTGAGGCATTGGACTCTGACATGGCCAACTATGGTTCGAGTCCTCAATTCTAGTGGCTTCCTTTCTCACTTTCTCCCTCTCTTTGTCTAGTGGGCACATGTGCCCCATAGAAAATTAAAATAATAATAATAAATAAAATTAAATAATTACTTTTTTAAAAAAAGATAAAACTGCCTAAGAATTTAACAAGTTTGGTTACCCTACTGCAGGTACTAAAGTTTAGGCTATTTGGTTTGGACTATTCTAGTTAGTACTACTGTTTTAGTCACCAGCCCTCAAAATAGGAGTTTTTTTTTTTGAGAGGTTTTTGCTATAGGGCGCGTGTGCTAGCCATACAGACAGAGAGAGACAGAGAGATAGAAAGCGAGAAATCATCCTCCAGGGGGGATGGCCACGCCGCAATCCCTTCTCCTCCATTCTCCTCTCGGGATCTTGGGCACGCACTCACACGCGCCCGGTGTGAGTCTCAAGCCACCAGGTCCAGGATGC